TGGTCCTTCTTCCTAGGAGGTTTTTCAACTAGATATTCATATGCCTTCACTTCATTCAAATCTTGGTTCAAATATTACCTACTCCAAGAGACCTTCCCTGACTACTCGGACTTATTTTTTTCCTTTATAGCATTCGTAACTACTGGACATTATTTCACTTATTTGCTTCTTTGTTTCTATATAGCCATATTATATTACATCATATATTTATTCATTGTCTGCCTCTCTTAACTTACCACCCTCTTACATGAGTTCTGGGAGGGTAGAGATTTTTTTTAAATTCACTGCTCTAAACTTAGGAAAACAGTGCCTGGCACAAAGTAGGCACTCAAGAAATACTTGTTGAATCAATATATGAATATAACTTAACACTGCCCTGTTTGTTCATTACCAGTTGTACCCTTATTTCATTATGGGTGGGCTCATAATGTTTATACTTGGGTTTAGGGGACTTGCTTAAAGTGTGGCTATAAATACATAGCATAGATCTGAATGGTGATCTATTAGAAGGTAAGGACTCTGTATCTTCCTCATTGTGTATCCAAGGCTGATACGCAGCCAGTAGGTCCTGGTCAGGATATATTGGTTGTTTACATCCAACATCCATATGGGTCAGCCAATACCTTTGCAGTCCTGGCTGTTTATTACCTTTTCCTGTATTCCCAACATTCCTGGTGTGCTCAGCATATGCTTTGAAAATACTTGTTGAATGAATCAATAAATACATCCCCATAGTAGAAGTATTGCCATATCTTTCTAGTGGTGTGTTGGTATATCCCAAAGTTCAACATAGTTTTATGTATTGGTCTTAGTGTGAACAAAGTATTATTTATTTCTAACAGAGCTCAAACACTAGAGTTATTTAGTTACCTCAGTCTACCCTGCACATAAATGCACTCTTTGATTTCCTTTCACAACTCAGTATATGGAAGTTCAGTTTGGAGGAGAGAAAAGACCCATAGCCTTGCCATAGTACCCATAGTCTGTAGCAAATAATTTTCATTATGTATTCATACATAGGGACATCACCAAAAAGATGGGTACATTACAAACAGCTCATTGCCTAGAAAAGGCATAAGTAAACTCAAAAAATTATAAAGCTTTACCACCCTCAAAAGGTATTTGACTAATTGTGCATACCTCATTATCTGTCATGATTGGCTAGAAGCAGTCCCTTTCATTTGATGGTGAAAAATTAAACCTTATTTTATTATTTTGAAGTGATTCTCAGCACATGTATTTTCTCTCTCATTGTTAAGTGCCCTCAGGAAACTGGCTTAACTTAAATAAAGTATATAAAATAGCCCCCTTGATCTGCAAAATGCGAACTACTATGCCTTTTGTTCCTTATGGCCCATCTAATTTCAAAAAAGTAACAGAACCAAGAAAGTCAAACACATTTTCAATATAGCTTCTAATATCCATCATATTCAAATTATTAGGGGACTGAGTAGACTGAATTTTCTATAAAGCTGATAAATACCTTTAATTGGAGCGAGGATGTTAAACCAACTGTACTTTGAGTCTTTTGGCAAGGAAATCTCAGGGATGTCCCTAATATAGCTCTATTAGCATGCCATACTGTACCTTAACTCAGAACCAGTATCATTTGAGTTTCATTTGTTTCCAGTAATTGCAAGAGAAATTCATCAGGCAGTACTGGCCTTAATCCAAAGAAAAGGGTAGAAACCAATTAAATGCTTAAAAGTTTTAAGGATAAATTGGAAGGTACGTGTTAGAAATCTCTTTAGCTCAACTAAAAGTGGATGAATGATTTTTAAATAGGCTATCTGGCTAGCTTTCCTGTTCTCGGTTGCTAATTCATATGCTATGTATTTGTGTTAGACATATAAATTAGCCCCTTTCAGTCTGCCTAGGAACATAAAGAAAAATATGAGATGGCTTATGAACAGACACACTTTTTTTTTTTTTGTCTTTGGTAAGATTTGGTTGATTTGAAAATTGCAGTAAGAAAACAAATAAAAGGATGTCCCCAGCTTCTGTCCTAGGCACCGTTTTCTCCTAACATTCTCTCCACTCAGTAATCTCATTTGCTCTCACTTCAACTGTTGCTTATGTGCATGTGTGATTCTAGTCTTGTCCTAGACCTAATATTTCTCCAGAACTTCAAACTCCTGTGTCTGACATGACTATCTAGATAGCCCATCAGTCCCTGGAACCTGGAATCTCCAAATATTAATTCATTGTATTCCTCCCATCACGTCACCCTTCCCCAGACCAACTAGTAAGCATTCAACAAACACATATCCAGCACCAACTGTTTGTAGCTAGTGCTGAGCTAAGTACGAATTCCCTAACTCTGTTAATGGTTCCACAGTGCTTTCAGTTATCAGGCTCAAAACCTTAACCGTTTTGGATTCCTCCCTTTCTGTCACTCTTTCCTATGCCCATCCCCAGCACACCTACACACATACACAAGCGTGCAAGCACACACCCACCCACTCATACACAGAGCTGGTTGCCAAATCCTGAAATGACATTTATAAAATTTCTCCTTAAGGAATTGCCTTCTTGGCATTCTCACAGCCACGGCCCTAAATGAGACACTCATAATTTTTCACCTAGATTATTGCAGTGCCATCCCAATTTGTGTTCTTGCCACATCTTTAGGCCTCCAATCCATCCTTCTCCACACTACTACTGGATTTATCTTTCTACAAAGGGTGCTCTGATGATATCATTTATTTGCCTAGAAATCATCAGTGCTCCTCATTGCTATTAAATTAATCTTCCTAAAGAAAATTGATCATAGCCCTCATCTGCTCAGAAAATAGCAGTGCCTCCCTGTTGCCCAGTAAATTGAATCCAAATACCTAAGTGTGGCATTCAGTGCCCTCCACAATATGGCCCTTATCGACCCTCCCAGCCTTAACTTCCACTAACTTCTATATGTAGCTAAACTCCAACCAACCCCATCAACTTCCTTTGCCTCAAATACATCTTGTGCTTTACAAAGTCATATTTTGTTCAACCTGCCCCCTCACCCCACCTATTGTTGACACCTGCCCCACATATCCTTCAAGGTCTATCTCTAATCCTACTTCCTTCATTAAATCATCCCTGATCAACCAAGCCAATTTTTATCTATTGTTCCTTTAAACCATTTCTTTTAAAACAAAAATTTCTTTTTTCCCCAGATGGCAAACATCACACATGTTCATTGTAAACAATATAGACAATACAGAAATCATAAAGAAGAAAATTAAAATCCTCCATAAACCCCGCGTACTGTTGCTATGTTGCAATACATCCTCTCAGCCCTTTCTTTCTCCACACAGCAACATATGTGCGCGCGCGCGCGCACACACACACACACACACACACACAATATAGATCATACTATTCATACTGTTTAGTAGCCTGATGTTTTTCATTTGATGCATCATAAATATTTCCCATGCCATTACATAGTCTTCTGCAACAAGATTTAATAACTGCTTAATCTTATATTATTTATATCATCAGTTATTTAATTAATCTCCTTTTGATGAATATTTAGATTGATCATAACTTTCTACTAGTTTTTAAATGTTTCAATGGATAGACTTGTAGTTTGGTACACATTCATAGCTAATTCATAGAAATTGAATTGTTCCCTAAAAGATGATTAAGCCAAATTTCAAGTTTTCTTAATAAATGGTGCCACATTACCCTCCAAAAGGTGACTGGTTTTTTATACTCGCATCAAGAGTGTATGAGAAGCAGCCGCATAGCACAGGGAGATCAGCTCGGTGCTTTGTGACCACCTGGAGGGGTGGGATAGGGAGGGTGGGAGGGAGGGAGACGCAAGAGGGAAGAGATATGGGAACATATGTATATGTATAACTGATTCACTTTGTTATAAAGCAGAAACTGACACACCATTGTAAAGCAATTATACCCCAATAAAGATGTTAAAAAAAAAAAAAAAGAGTGTATGAGAGGGCTTCCATGGTGGTGCAGTGGTTAAGAATCTGCCTTCCACTGCAGGGGACACGGGTTCGAGCCCTGGTCCGGGAAGATCCCACATGCCGTGGAGCAACTAAGCCCGTGCGCCACAACTACTGAGCCTGCGCTCTAGAGCCCCCGAGCCACAACTACTGAGCCCTCGCGCCACAACTACTGAAGCCTGGGCGCCTAGAGCCCGTGCTCTGCAACAAGAGAAGCCACCACAGTGAGAAGCCCATGCACCGCAACAAAGAGTAGCCCCCGCTCGCTGCAACTAGAGAAAGCCCCCGCGCAATCTAAGAAAAGATTTAAGTCAATCTAAAAAAAGATTGACTTAAAAAAAAAAGTGTATGAGAGTCCCCATTTTCCTGCATGCTGATCAACACTGAGTATTTTTTAATCCTATGATAGCAATTTTTAAAAAATAAATTTATTTATTTTTGGCTGCGTTGGGTCTTCGTTGCTGTGCACGGGCTTATCATATAGGGAAGCCATATGATAGCAATTTGAACCTGTATTACCTCAATTATTCTGTGTATTATCATTATTTTATACTTGTATTACCTTCAGCTCCTACCCTAATAGGCATCTAGATGTTAACATCTGCAGTAGCTATCATAGGACCTTATGCATACTAGGCACTCAGGAAATATTTGCTGAATTGAATTGAACAAGGGCCATAGAGAAGGTCTCTCATGTTCTCGCGATAGCCTGTCCACCATTACTCTGCGGTTTCCGTGTGCAAACTAGAGTTACACGACTAAGGGAAATGGAAGAGGAAGGGGTCACAGCACTGAGGAGCAGAGTCCAATCCCACTGTAATTGCTTGACCAGAATTTCAGCTTCTGCTATCACTGGGATAGCTTCAGCCTCAAAATTTTAAGCACTGTTTGGGAAAGTCGCTACATGTGTGATGTGAGTATCAATTCCAGGTTGCTTGGCCTAACTGAAAGAAAACCAGTCATGGCATTTTTGGGTGGAAAGGAACAGCTGGTTTAGAGAACTTTTTGACAAGTCTGGAATAAGTTCATGTATGGCTTGTTTTCTTGCAGCAGTACATTTGTTCGGCCTGACTTGGCAGTTGCAACCAGCTGAAGGACAACTCTATGAGAATGGAGTTAGCAAGGGGAACAGAGGGACTGAATCCATGGATACCACTTACTCTCCAATTGGAGGAAAAGTTTCCAATAAATCAGAGAAAAAAGGTACAGTGATCAAAGTGACTGATTGATTATTACTCTTCTTCTAATTTAGTCATCAGAACCAAACCTGGGATGGTTTCACTTCACATTAAATTTCATGATCACTCGAAAGAAATACTCTACGTGGACAGAATAAATACATGTAAATGTCTTGTGAAAGCAGATTTTCCTTTCTCTAGTGCCTTGAATATAAACCAATTAAACCTTTCAAATATGTTGGCAATTTTGAAAATAGATAAATATTTACAGGATGGAGGTTTCAATACAATGGAAATTGCATTTCGCATATAAGTACCCTGAAGCAACGTGGGATTTTGATTAAGTTCTCTGTGTCCAAGCCCAGCATTTATATATAACACTTTACAAAGGGTATATGGAAATTTCTTCTGTTTATAATAAGAAAATGCCTTCTATGTGTAATACAAGGGCGAATGTTTATGTCAAAGTGGGAGAATATGAATTTTTTTCCTAGTTGGGAAACATGAATTCTTCCTAGTTGGGGAAAAGAAAAAAGCACTTTGAGTAATGAATTGTTAAATTTAACCAACATAAGCTTGAACTACCTGACATTTACAATAAATGTCACAGTATTGTCCCAGCAGTCCCAACATTTTATTCATGTTGAATGATCTTAGTCTTAATATTCAAATATTGAAAATAACTGAAAATTTGTATTGTGATTTCTCTTGATATAAGATACAGTACAGAGGGCCTTGAGCCATGTAAAATATCGGGATGTCAATTCAAAAAGTAGAAATTGAAAACAAAGCGTATGGCCAGTACTATCCTAAATATTTTTAGATTAAATATAAAAAGATGAATGAATGAATGATCCAAAGCCTACCCTTAAATTAAGAAGCTTATAATTTTATAGAGGTGGAAAATCAGTTTTGTTTCATTAGTTGAAAATAAGAGATTTTTATAGTTGTTTCAATTACTACTCTTGTGTTTTTAGTTCCTTCTGGGGAGTTATTTTTGGGTTTTGTTTTATTTTTGTTTGCTTTTGAAAAAGGAACTTTGCTTTGGTCTATGCTTCAGTAAAAATTAATGCTTAGGGTTCAGGAAAACATTATGGTTTATTCCAGTTTTCAATTCACAGTGCAGTTTGCTTTATGTCCTTTAGAATTACTGTTTCTAGCCTGGGCTGAACTTTCCCAGCAATTTCATTGTTGCTGCTGAGAGGGACTGAGAGTAGTGCAGGGGTCAGAAATGGCAGAGGAAAGGGTCTGAATACACTTGGACATTTTCTCCCTTACCTTCCCTCCTGCTATTTGATTCCTTTATATCTGCAAGTACAAGAGCCACCATTTGGTATCATATGCTTAGGGATTTTTTTTGCCAGTCACACTGAAAATCATGAATTATCTGTTTGATGAAAATGAAGCATACAAGACAGCAGAAGGTCATCACATAGTTGTCATCAGAGCATATTCATTTTTTTAATTCTAATTCAGATTTCTAGAATTCCTTTCCAAAAAATAGTTCGATGATGATGACTAAATTGTATTAAACAGTTACCATGTGCCAAGATTTACTCCAGACACTAAACATGTATTTATATCATGAAAGTAATGCTATGGTCTTCATTTTCCAAATGAGAAATAGAAGCACAGAGAGTTTAAGTCATTTGCCCAAGGTCACAGAGCTAGAAACTGGTGGTCTGATTCCAGAGACTTGTCTCTTAACTTCTGCATTATACTGAAATCCGCACATGAAACATATATGAAAACCACAAAAGACATTTTACACCCTGAAGGCAAAGCCCCAGTGTCTATTCATGATAGATTTTAGGTAAATTCTGTATTTTAATGTGTTGTGACAAGTTTCATAAATGGAAAATGTTTTTAAGATTCTGCTCAATTACAACAACAAGCAGGCCAAACCAATTTCTTTATTAAGAAAAATCATTAAAGGTTCATGCCATATATACCAAATTATTATCTTAAACTGACTTTTTATGGAAGTCTGGACAAAACGTTAGCAATAGCTGCACATCATAGTTCTGTTTTATTAGGTCTTTACTGTGTATTACTTACCAAGTAAAAACATAGCTCCTCTTTTATAAAGTCCTGTGTATACTAAACCAAACCTTGCAGAAGATGGAATATACTATAAGGATATTTTCAAATGGTCACCTGTATCCTTTTACAATTTTCTAGACATCACACAACTCCATAAATACAGTTCTAAACTCGAAAACCAGGTAATTCTTTTTACACTGTTTTCTTTACAGTGTAGCACTTTACAGTGTAGCACTCTAGTTAAGAGCCTGGACTCTGGAGTCAGGTTTGGCTTTGAATACTGACTTTGTCATTTGCTGGCACTCCAACCTCAGGCAGTTAATTGACACAGCCTTGCTGAACCAGTGTCCTTACCTGCAACATATGGATGATAATATAGTACCTGTCGCATAGAGTGGCTGTAAGGAGTAAGTGAGACAATGGATGTAAAGGACATTGTTTAATTTAGCAAAATAATTATTATTGGGTCAGATGATTGGAAAATTACCTTGTATTGGCATCCTATTAGATACTATAGATCCTGCTTTCAAACTGACATCAACTTTTTTATGAATGATGGCCTCCTTAGGATTTAGATGTTTTCTCTCTTTAAAGTTTGATTTATCTTTACTTACCAATTTAACATCTATTATTTTTAAATTATCATCACTTTCATCACCAAAGCCATGGATAAGTAGAATAGCACTTTAAAAATAATCAAATTTTACTGGAATTGGTTCCCCGTTAACAGTAGCTATATGTATCTGCTTCTCATTAGGAGATTAAAGAATTTTCTCACCACTTAATTTTCAAAATGAAAGAAAAAAAGAATATTTGATTATTTAGTATGCTAAAATTTTCTCTTTTAAATTTATTTGAATAATTTAAATTTAATTTCAAAAAGAAGATATAAGTCACAACCATATGTCAGAATCTACCAGAAAAATCAGTTATCAGTTGTTCACTAATGTAAAATTGAAAGTATTGCACTAAAACAGGCCCTACTACCTTGGAAGCTTACAAACTAGTCATAACTCACTCTTTCTCTTTAACTTGTAAATATCATGTAACAGCTGGTTTAAACAGAGCAGGGGATATGAACAAATGAAAGACTTGTTCCTAGACCTGAGTCATGTAAGGTCCATAAATTGAACTGAAAATAATTACAGTGTAATTTATCAACCAGTAGAGAATGTTAAAATCTTCAAGATAATCAAATCCAATATCATTATTTAAAGATGAAGAAACTGAGGTCCAGAGGGGTCAAGAACACACAGAGATGGTGGCGCAGTGGTTGAGAATCCGCCTGCCAATGCAGGGGACACGGGTTCGAGCCCTGGTCTGGGAAGATCCCACATGCCACGGAGCAACTAAGCCCATGAGCCACAACTACTGAGCCTGCACGTCTGGAGCCTGTGCTCCGCAACAAGAGCCCGCAACAGTGAGAGGCCCGCGCACCGCGATGAAGAGTGGCCCCCGCTCGCCGCAACTAGAGAAAGCCCTCACACAGAAACGAAGACCCAACACACCCAAAAATAAATAAATTAATTAATTAAAAAAAAAAAAAACACACAGAGAACTGGGACTAGAACCAAGGACTCCTGGTTCCACCTCTTCTGTTTTCTCTTCTATTATTGTAATAATGTAACACAATCTAAACATGTAAATTCCTAAAGAGGTTTTCTAAGGGGGAATCAAAGACAGAAACTGAGCTGGTAAGAAAATTAATTTTATTCAGGCTATTGCAATAGGGAGAGCACCCCAGGTTCAAAGATCAGTTTTGCCTAAGGCTTTTATAGGAGGAGTACATGAGCTACAAGCGGGATGATTTACAGTTGGAATTGTTTTGTACTCAGCGCAAATCTCAGTGAGTCCGATGAACAGGAAATGTTTTCTCTGTGTCTAGCTAGTTGAAGGGGAAGGGGAACAAACAGTTCTAAACTCCAATAATTATTTATGAAAGAATGGGAATTGGAGGGTCTGTATGTGGTTTTTCAGCAGGTTCCAGCAAAAGGGGAAAGGTCTGTGTTTGGCTTTGTCACAGGTAACAAAGGAGTCATGTGCAATTCTTACAGGAGTGCTAAGAATGGACAGAGAGCCTTCTCTAATAAGTCTTAGGGAAAAGGGTTTTCAATTTGGTTATTTTTGCTTATTTATTTGTTTGCTTTGTGGTAAGCCACTTCCTAAATCATAAAAGCGTGGAAGGATATCTGAAAGCAAAAGGTTGGGGTAATCTCTTAACCAGCTCTGTTTTCCAGGGGCATGGGGCTCAGGTAAAATCCAACATTGTCAGTAACAATCTGAATGAGGAAGAAGTTTGTTGGGTAGATGAGGGTACTGAATTCCTGCAGGTTGGATGCCCAGGAACAAAAAGGGTGGGTGGAGAGACAGAAAACTAAAGGACACTAAAGACAACCTTTATCTCCTTTACAATTTTTGCAAAAGGCTGGCCTTGGGAGGAAGTGACATTTCTTTTAAGTTCATCCTACAAAATCTATCTCCGCAAAGTTGAAGGAAAAAAAAGACATTTTCTAGTCAATGTCTGCTGAATATACGACCATGTAAACAACGTATAACTGATTCATATGACACAATCTATAGCCTGTCGTGAGGATGCTTCAGCCAGGACCAAACTGTGACTATAGCTTCACCTGTCTGGGCTCCAGTTTCTCCTCTGAAAAAAAAGGGAGTTGGCTTTGAAGGGAAGGAAAAATAATTTTACCTTTACCCTTCAGGTTCTTGGCTGAGACCCCCTTGTAATAAAAAGAAAGATAAATAGGAGAAAAACAAGCAAGTTAAATAACATGTGCACCTCCTGTTTTCATGGGAGAGACCCAGGAAAACTGAGCACCTCCCCGAAATGACCCAAGCCATCACCTTAGATACCATCTCATCTGAAAACAAAAGATGTGAGGGGAGTCAGTTAAGGGAGGGTATCAGGAGAAGCACAGTACATGGAGTATGGGTGTTATGCAGATTTAAATCATTTCCTTCTCCTTTGAT